ACTCTGCTGCACGCGAGTGTACAGCCCCCTGTACACTCTCCTGCACGTGAGTGTACAGCCCCCGTACACTCTTCTGCACGAGAGTGTACATCCCCCGTACACTCTCCTGCACGAGAGTGTACAGCCCCCGTACACTCTCCTGCACGAGAGTGTACAGCCCCTGTACACTGAGGAGAATCACCAGTTACACAAGACTCGTCCTCTCGCCCAATTCGTCCCATTGTTGTACTGAAAGGAATCACCCAATCCGTTACAAACGCGACGTGTTAGTGGACAGTTAAAGCGGGGAGCCGGTCGGCAGAGCGGACAGCACGCTGGACTTGTGATCCTGTGGTCCTGGGTTCGATCCCAGGCGCCGGCGAGAGACAATGGGCAGAGTTTCTTTCACCCTATGCCCCTGTTACCTAGCAGTAAAATAGGTACCTGGGTGTTAGTCAGCTGTCACGGGCTGCTTCCTGGGGGGTGGAGGCCTGGTCGAGGACCGGGCCGCGGGGACACTAAAAAGCCCCGAAATCATCTCAAGATAACCTCAAGATAACGGTAATATTGACGGGTTCGACCTCGACAGGTTAGGTGGGTTGCTTGGGTTCGTACGTACTTCTCAAAATAAAATAGTTGCATTTTTCTGCAGAACAATAATCGAAAACTGCTGTACACGGAATATGATGACAGGTGTTGAAGAACATGAGGATAACAGCTTGTAGGAGGGAAGAACAATGGAAATATTTAAACTCGACAGAAATGTTTATGAAAGACCAAATGATATTAAAACGGATAGGAGAGTCAGTCATCCATTGACTGACTGTGCAAGGTAATCAAGTTTTCCAGAATTATATGATTTCGGTAAAAATGTCGTCTAAGTTATCCAGATACTTGTCAATGAACGTCGATTCAACTTCTCTGTGTACCAAGTTCTCTCTTCAATCAGGCCAGGTGTGTGAGATTGTGGCGTCTGCCGGGAAATCACCAACAACCAACAATTACAACATTAACAACTGCAACAACAACAACAACAGAGAGAGAGAGAGAGAGAGAGAGAGAGAGAGAGAGAGAGAGAGAGAGAGAGAGAGAGAGAGAGAGAGAGAGAGAGAGAGAACGAGAGAGAAAGAGAGAGAAAGAGAGGGAGAGATTCTAATGGGATAACTAAATTATTTATTATTGACGACGGAGTACACTTTATCAGCTTTAAAATTAGCCATAAATGACGGGCGTTTGGGTGTGTTTACTCTCGTAGCGATAACGTAAGCTTCGCTAAGAACCGTAAAACACTCGGGAGAAATAACGTGCGCAACAGTGTATGACGATGCCCGTTTTATTTTTAATAGTGAAGACAACAAACGTGTGTTTTGGCGCCTTGGCATAGCGCCACCACTCAACCCGTCCTCTTAAAAATAACGTCACTTTTGGCTCGTATGCGCGGCGCTATGGCCAAATTTGGACGTAATTTGAAATGAAATAGACTCACAAAAGTGGCGTACTGTTCCGTTTTCTGTTTGAGTCGTCTGGACCTTCTCGGACAGCTTATTAGAGGAACTTTCAATTAACGTTTTTCATAACGTTTTGAAACTTTATGAGAATTTCCTGCCCACCTAACCTATCAGAGGACCCTTAACTTACTGTTGTTGAAAAAAAAAATCAAAATTTATTTTCAATTTTTTTTCATTTTCAAATTACGCCCATATTCGGCCATACTGGTAAACGGCCAAAAGCGACGTTCTTTTTAAGAGGACAGGTGGCGGGGAAGGAGGCTACTTCAGACGATTGTTCTGATGACTGGGTTTTCAGACGCGTCCACTACTTGATGATTTTGATCCAGAATTATTTGAGATGAAAGTGGCTAGGGCTGACCTTCTGGTGTCAAGAGACAGCTGCGAGGATAGCTGAGTAGCAGCTAAACAAGGAGTAGATGTCAGGATCTAGTCATGGAGATTCTAGGCCGAAAATGACAAGCATTATGTGGCCCACTGCCCTGCTCGGAAGTCTGGAGACAAGGGCCAGACCATCTACGAGTGGTAGATGTTCAAGACACTTGTAAATCTATACCCAAGGAGAAATATATACGTCTTGACTGTCTTCCTGAACCAAGTTTATCCCGTTGGTCCTCGAAGTGACAGACGATGGTCTCCTGTGGATGGTCTCATCGTTGAAGCTTAAAGTTACCCCCTGCTCATTTTGAAACCAATTCCAGTGTTTGATGACGCTATCAAGTGTCTGTTGTCGTTTGAGCTTCCTCAGTTGTAACTTGACATGGTATGTTTGAGGAAACTTGGGCTCAAACTGTGACAATGACGAGTAGGTACGAGGGTATTGTTTTATTTAGCCTTAGTGTGCCGGACCAGCGTGGAGCCCTTGCCTAATTATACAGGACAAGCTGCAAGCACTTGAACTGAAGATAATTTTGAGGTGTGCGACCAGAGTGTTGCGGAGCCATGTGGCAGATGCCGAAGGTTGCTACACATGAACAACACACAACAACGGGGAATTCAATATCAGCCTAAAGTTTAGCGAGGAGACACAAGTGTATAGATGGTGGGAGGACAAGTGTATAGATGGTGGGAGGAGACTACGATAGACTCTAACCTGAGACCGCATCGGGGAATACAAATGGAAGTCGAGCAGGCAGCAGAGTCAACATTCCATTGTGGCTTCAAAAGTCGACCCAAGAGACAGGCCAAGAAGCTCCAGCTCAGACTATTAATTAACATACATCTATATCTATGACAGAACATGTCTGACAGTATGTCTGCTGGGCTTCACCCAGTAGGGGCCCCACCACACACCAGTGGCGAACTATTATATTATTTTTATATGAAAGAGAGAGAGAATGGATGTTGGATATGTTCGTTTTATTAGCGATATTTCTAATAAAAAAACATGTGAATTGAAGCCGGATGGACGTACCTGCGGGTGAGCCCGGGCACCGTCCCCGTATATCATGGGTATACAAATGTATGTTTTACCATTTTGAGATTTCACATCTCTGCAGTAATTTTAATTGTCAAAATGTTTTAATAATAATAATAATAATTAAAATCATGTTTGAAGGTGAGGCGTTATGTCAAGTGCATTTTTGTGAAATATCCAAACACTGACATTTAAAACTTGATCTCTGTCATTACAACAGTAAATTTTGTTTACATTTAGGTTTTCAATAAAACAAAAATTATGTAAAAGTAGATTGTTGTTTGCCTCCTCCGCTTGCCCCCCCCCCCCCCATCTGTGTTCAGTCGTAACACCCACACTGTCTGTCTGTTTGTCTGTGTCTGACACAACTAATAGTCTTCCCTTGACAATCATATACTTTTTAATGCACGATAAAACTTTTGTAATTTCCCCCTCCGAGCTCTGATTAATACTGGTAGTCTCTGCCTCCCACACACTGCTGCTGCTGCTGCTGCTGCTGGCCGGTGCTGGTAACCCCTTCCTCCCTTGGCCAGTGTTATTAATCCCTTCCTCCCTTGGCCAGTGTTGTTAACCTCTTCCACCCTTGGCCAGTGTTATTAATCCCTTCCTCCCTTGGCCAGTGTTGTTAACCTCTTCCACCCTTGGCCAGTGTTATTAACCTCTTCCACCCTTGGCCAGACGCGAGAATAAACACCAGTGTAAGCACGTAGATTATAGAGGGATTGAACGTCGACCCTACAAGTTGTAGCTGTTCAGTTCAGTGTGATAGAGATCGTCCTCACAATGTGTGATGTTCTATTTATCTATAGTGCATATTCTGGTGGAATGAGAGAGAGAGAGAGAGAGACAGAGAGAGACAGAGAGAGGCAGACAGACAGACAGAGATAGAATAGCTATCACCAAAGAAACTGACTTGACACTGAATGGATATTAATATAGATCACGTTGTATAACAACTTCCAAATAGCGCTCAATGGCGCACAGGTCCAGAGCGTTTGGCCTTTGATCCTACACTCGATCATGCCTTCCAGCCTTACCAAAGCTAAATACATTCCAGGCTTCAACCAAGCTAAATGAATTCCTAGCTCACACCGAAGCTAATGGAATTTCAGGCCACACCGAAGCTAAATGAATTCCGGCCACCCCACCAAAGTCAAATAAACTTCAAGTTGCATGAAATAGAGATATTCCAGGGAGCATTAAAATAGATAAATTCCAGGGCGACAACAAATCTAGAGATGTTCTCGGCTCCCGGCACAATCATAAACACTCCAGTAACACACCAACATATTCCAGGTACACGAAAGACAACAAACACCAAACTAACACATCACAAGTAACAATTAAGGTGAGAGTATCCGAGAGTGGACCTGGCATCCACCAAGGCTCTTGGGGGTGTCTTCCAGTCGTACAGTCCCCGCGTCTCTGACTCCTCACCGAGTCCCGATCATTTTGGGTGTTTTTATAATTTCAGAGATTCCCACAACGCTGCCTCCTCTACTCAGTTGACTGGAGTCCATTAATTGCCAATTGCCTTTATCTCTATTTGGTGTGTGAGGAAGTTTTACATAGAAGGGAAAGGTCGCGCTTCCAGACCCTCGAAGGAGTGGGGGGGGGGAGGGGGAAGGTCGCGCTTCCAGACCCTCGAAGGAGGGGGGGGGGGAAAGAGTAGAAGTTCACACTTTACCTTCTGCCAGGTGAATGATGGTGAATTATAGAACCATAGATGGAAAGGACTCCCCCTCCCAGCGTTTTCTTCCATCTTGCCCCTCCATTATAGGGGATAATAATGAAACAAGTCTAAATCTTTTCCGTTATCACCGTCACTTTGCTGTTAAACGTACATTTTGCATTAACTAATTAATCTATTTCACAAGACGTTATTTATGGGCATCACGGGAGGAACCCGAAGGAAGAGCTTGAAATGGAAGAACAGCTAACTGAGATTAGGAACGTATTGAGAGCTAATGATAAGAACCTTTCCTCTCAGCTGTGTACTATAACAACGGGGATGTATTTTACTGTCTGTTGTTCGTCTTCTAAAACCGGTTGGCAGAAGTGGTCAATGTTTAACACGGTGGTGTTTGTCTCCGCAGAGTACCGCATGAGGCGTGAGGAGGAGCAGCCTGAGGCCACACTCTGAGAACACCTGCACAGCCCAGCGGTGACGCCATGAGTGACGGGGAACACCGCATCCGCTTGGTCCTCTTGGGCGGCGCTGGCGTCGGCAAGAGCTCCATCATCAGCCGCTTTCTCTACAACAAATACTCCGACAAGTACAAGAGCACCGTCGAGGACCTCTACAACCGCGACTACGAGTTCGGACACATCACCCTCAAGGTGGACATCCTGGACACGGCCGGGGACTTCCAGTTTCCAGCGATGAGGCGGCTGTCCATCGCGAACGCTCACGCCTTCCTCATCGTCTACTCCATCAGCCACAGTCAGTCCTTCGACATTGTCCGTCAGTGCATCGAGGAGATCAAGGAGCAGCGCTCAGACCTCGAGGAGATCCCCATCGTCATCGCTGGCAACAAGATGGATCTGGAGGTCGAGCGGCAGGTCTTCAAGGAGGACGTGACTGAATGGATCTACAGAGAACTGCAGAGATTTAGGTAAGGTTCAAACGACTTTTTTCAGTTTGGTGGCAGGGGTTAACAAGGCTGTTATGTTTGATGTGTAGGAACGAGGTCAGGCAGGTTACTGATCATCAGATTGGGGAGACACGTTACAGTATAAGTACAGACTAGGGATTATCGGTTAATTATCAGAGATTATCAGGACAGTACAGGAGCAAGGAGAGAAGTGAAGGAACTCTGCCCATCCACTTGGACAATCGAATACGGAAAGTTGATCTGTAAAAAGCTAGGCCGTCGCTGTGCCGACCACTCTAAACAGAAGGTGTAAACTTAAGGAAGAGATTATGTTAGAGAAACAATAACGTGTAGGGATAATATAGACCCGTGTTGAGTTAGTCCAGGAGACGTATGGTGCCTTGGAGCAGGCTATTAGTACACACAATAATTTAAGAATATACATGTAATCTATATGACAGCAACTATATCTTTGACTCGCTGCTGGCCACTATCTCCCAGACTCACCCCGTCCATTTAATTCTAACCGTCTGACACTCCCGTCGGACTTTTCATACGTTTTATTGGACTCTGACTTGACTGTCTGTTTCCAACCACTGTCTATCTCTGACGCATCTACATATCTGTCTCCTACCGTCTGCCTGTCTCTCGGGATCTATCTGTGTGTGTGTGTGTCTGGTCTTGCACAAAGGCACAATCAGCGTCCTCAAATAGTGATCAAAATATACTAACAACGTGACATTAACTCTCGTCGAAATGTCAACACCATCTCCTTATTTTTCCGCAAAGGTAAATTCCCCTCACCAGGGTTGGCATTTCTGACGATCACGCATGCATGGTTGGCAGCCCTGACGATCATGCACGCATGGTTGGCAGTTACGCATGCGTGCGTAACAACCACGCACGCATGGTTGGCAGCCCCGTCGACCAGGCACGCATGGTTGGCAGCCCCGTCGACCACGCACGCATGGTTGGCAGCCCTGACGATCACGCACGCATGGTTGGCAGCCCTGACGACCAGGCACGCATGGTTGGCAGCCCCGTCGACCAGGCACGCATGGTTGGCAGCCCTGACGACCAGGCACGCATGTTTGGCAGCCCCGTCGACCACGCACGCATGGTTGGCAGCCCTGACGATCACGCACGCATGGTTGGCAGCCCTGTCGACCACGCACGCATGGTTGGCAGCCCCGTCGACCAGGCACGCATGGTTGGCAGCCCTGACGACCAGGCACGCATGTTTGGCAGCCCCGTCGACCACGCACGCATGGTTGGCAGCCCTGACGATCACGCACGCATGGTTGGCAGCCCTGACGACCAGGCACGCATGGTTGGCAGCCCCGTCGACCAGGCACGCATGGTTGGCAGCCCTGACGACCAGGCACGCATGGTTGGCAGCCCTGACGATCACGCACGCATGGTTGGCAGCCCTGACGACCAGGCACGCATGGTTGGCAGCCCTGTCGACCACGCACGCATGGTTGGCAGCCCTGACGACCACGCACGCATGGTTGGCAGCCTGATGATCCCCGGCGCGCGAAGGAATTCACAATTATTTGTATTTTACGATGTTGGTTTCTTTCCGTGAACTGGATGATTGAAAGGCGTTGTTTGCTTTTCTTGTGCCAATTACGGGATTTGTTTTAAACTGTTTACCAGGTTGTGTACCATTGGGTTGTTAGCAGTGTTGCCGCGCATCTCCCCTGGGTTCAGGTGCCCAGATTTTCTAAGGGTCTACGTCATCACTGTCGTCATCACTACGTCATAACTGTCACCCTCACTACGTCATAACTGTCACCCTCACTACGTCATAAACTAAACTTAACCTGACCTAACCTAACCGGACCAAACGAAAATAAGATCAAATTCTGTGTTTAACGTAACCACAACGTTATTTTTACGGTGTAACAAAGCAGTTCTATTCTTGGAGGGTTGGGAGGTGACTGGAGAGGTCTCAGAGACCCTCCTGGCGTCCCTAGGGTTCTCCCCTAGCGCTCCGTAATCTCTCCAACTTGCAGAGTGGAACAGTTTGGGTTTAACTTTTCAAATCCTACTCTGAGGTGCTTCTCGTTTTTTATATAGTATCGTGAGGGGAAACTTACCAGTATTATAACGATGAAAGTCGTTGAATGCGTCACAACACTGCTGCTGGACCACACTGAACCAGTACGTCTAAAATCTGCACCGCCTCTCTCTCTCTCTCTCTCTCTCTCTCTCTCTCTCTTTCTCTCTCTCTCTGACGCGAAGATGATCTTCCTCTTACATCTCTCTTTTATTTGCACGTATCAAGTGTGTGTTTAGACCCTGTGTAATATACGTAGGAAAACTGATTGGGGTGTATTGGGAGCGTCGCCTCGCTACCTGCCACAGAGAAGCAAACAGTTGATAACGAGATAGAGCTATAATTTACATATTCATGTCAGCGGGGCAGCTTATCATTCTCCGATATTCCCCACCCTGGCCTCTCTACTCTTGACTTCATTTTAAAATTGGGAAACATAGACTTTGCTTCTCCATCAAGGCCAAAAAATTGCGCATTATATATTATATTATATATATATATATATATATATATATATATATATATATATATATATATATATATATATATATATATTGTGACGGTAACGCGTTGGTGTTCGGCTGTTTAAGGCTAGGGGTATGGCCTCGTCACATAGTTATAAAAAAAATAGAAAAGACTGGAACTTCGTCTGTGGTAAGGTAAGGAGAAGACACACAAAACACAAGTAAACTTTAACAATGAAATTTTAATTACGTTAAATAAATCAAAACATGAAAAAATGGACAAACAAATTCTTATAATAAAATCAATCAATCAAAATAATAAGAATAATTAAATGACACAATGAAAAGTTACGTTAAGACAAAATAACCAGAAGTGCAATACAAAATAAATGTGAGGTGCTGGAATATTGGCTTTAAGCTACCACCTCTCTCAGTATACGCTTACGTCTAGCCGGGAGAAGTGTTAACTGTGGAAGCACTGAATATTCTGAGGTCTGAGGTCGTGGCGACCCCAGACATCAAGTAGTATGGGGGGGGCGAGTGCAGTTGCAGCCAGACCGGCGACCAATCAGCGGAGCCGGTAGTAAGACAGGTAGTTTGGCGGTTTGAGTCTGAGCAGGTGTCCCTGGCTGCATACGTTTTGCGCTCTGGCAAACCTTGCTGGTGTTGTTGTCGTTGTTGGACATTTCTTCCATAGTAGTTTTATATAATTTTAACGACGTAATTGTGGAGGGAAGAGCAGGCTCAATCTCTTGAAGGAGATTATCGTCACAACTCTCCCCCGAAGCCTGCGGTTCTGGAAGAAGTACGTCGTTATGTGGTGGAGTAATGGATGGAGTCGCTTCTACTTCATAAACTCTGGAGAGATCATGGGCTAAGATGTTGTCAGACTTTTGGTATAGCGTGTCTCCAGGTTGAATTTCTGCAGTTAGCAAGCCCATAGTAGAAGACGTTGAGATGGGAAGTGGGCGTGCTGCAGGAGGTGTAGGGTGGTGTGGTCCGTGTTGATGGTGGACCGAGCACTTTTCAGGTGTGGAGTGAAGTGCTGAAGCTTCAGGATGAGGAAGAGTAGCTCCTTGCCAATTGTTCCGTAGTTCCTTGTAGCAGTAGTCGCTGACAGGTGTATTCTTCTCGCCTCGTTGCTGCATCACGACACCACCAACGTCGGTACCATTGGCGTCGACATGGAGGATGAAGGGCTTATCTGACGAGGTGAGAGTGGAATTAGAATAGGGCAAAGGAGCACGATTATTATCCTGAAAGCATTTGGGAAGATCATTAAGGATTTCGGAATTAGAAAGCGCTGACTCCTTGTCAGTGCTTTCGGGAGGAGAAGCTGGGATGGTCTCACTGTGGATGTAGGGTTCTGTGAAGGTGGAATAGTTAGTCAGGACAGTGGGAGGAGTACCATTATATTGCTTCAGGAGGTTGACGTGGCACAGCTGGGTCTTCCGCCGCCTATCTGGAGTCTCTATTACGTAGTTGTTATTATTCCTGCACTCTTTGACGCGGTAGGGTCCTGAAAACCTGTTTTGTAAAGGTGAACCTGGGATAGGGAAATATGCAAGGATGAAGTCTCCCGGCTTGAATTTTCGTACTTTGCTGGTCTGGTCGTAATGAGTCTTCATTCTCTCCTGGGCTTTCAATAGATTATCATGGGCAAAACGGTGGACTCTCTCTAGAATGTGTTGAAGGTTTTGAAGAAACTGGGGCACATTCTGATGCTCACTGAAGGTGGCATCTCGGAGAGAGTCTTTGAAAGCCTTAAGGGGAGTACGGCACTTACGGCCGTAGAGCATCTCATAAGGAGATACTCCTAGGGACTCATTGGGGAGACTTCTGAAAATACACATAAGGTCAATCTGCTTATCCCAATCCTTCGAGGTTTCATTACAAAACTTTTTCAAGAGTGCTTTGATAGTCTGATGACTACGTTCAAGAGAACCCTGTGAAGCAGGATGATAGGGGCTGGACAATACCTGTTTGATGTTGAACTCCTCCAGTGTCCTTTTGAAGAGATCACTGGTGAAGTTGGTACCACAGTCGCTTTGAATCTCCCTGGGAAATCCGTATTGAGTGAAGATCTTCAATAGATGTTTGATAACCGTAGCAGCCGTGATGTTCTTCACTGGAACTGCTATGGGAAATCTGGTGGTAGGACACAGGATGGTTAGGATGTAGGCGTTACCTGAACTGGTCCGAGGTAAAGGACCAACACAGTCTATTATGAGTCTGTGGAAAGATCCCACAGGATAGGTACCAGTACCTGAGTGAAGCTCCCGGACAGGCCCCCATATAACTTGTGACGGTAACGCGTTGGTGTTCGGCTGTTTAAGGCTAGGGGTATGGCCTCGTCACATAGTTATAAAAAAAAATAGAAAAGACTGGAACTTCGTCTGTGGTAAGGTAAGGAGAAGACACACAAAACACAAGTAAACTTTAACAATGAAATTTTAATTACGTTAAATAAATCAAAACATGAAAAAATGGACAAA